TCAAGGATACGTCATTTCGCCGTTTGTTATTTAAGTTGTAAGTTCATACGCTATTGTAAGAAAATAGTTATGGATGAAATGACTTTAATTTCCATGAACATATATCATATTGAGGTAAACCATTTTAAATATGAAATAATAATGGCAGAATATGCAAGAAAAAATATCTTTTCATATGTTTGCCGTTCGGATCGGAATATCCGTCCCTCGGGAACCCGCCCATGGGCGGTAAACCTCGCGCAGGCCTCGTTACCGCCCAATGGGCGGGTCCCCTCGGGACGGATATTCCGGTCCGAACCGCAACATATGACAGATATTATTATTCTGTGAGTTTACCATGCCGGAAATTTTCATCTGGGCATGGGGGGTGCCAGATGAGTCGCAGTGCCAAACAACAACGTCATTTTAGCGCCATTTAAATGAATGAACCGCGTTAAAATGACATCGTTTTAGAAGGGAAAATATGTCTTAGGATGACGTCATTTCGCCGTTGTTTATTTAAGTTGTAAGTTCATACGCTATTGTAAGAAAAATAGTTATGGGATGAAAATGACTTTAAATTCCATGAACATATATCATATTGAGCGTAAACCATTTTAAATATGAAATAATATGGCAGAATATGCAAGAAAAAATATCTGACATATGTTTGCGGTTCGGACCTAATATCCGTCCCTCGGGAACCCGCCCATGGGCGGTAACTCGGCAAGCCTCGTTACCGCCCAATAGGCGGGTCCCCTCGGGACGGATATTCCGGTCCGAACTGCAACATATAACATATATTATTAGTCTGTTTTTTACATATAGGTAATATGTATACTAGGGGAGACTTTGTCTGTTTTTTACATATAGGTAATATGTATACTAGAGGAGACTTTGTCTGTTTTTTACATATAGGTAATATGCATACTAGGAGAGACTTTGTCTGTTTTTTTACATGTAGGTAAATATGCATACTAGGGAGACTTTGTCTGTTTTTTTACATATAGGTAATATGTATACTAGGGGAGTCTTTGTCTGTCTTTTTTACCATATAGGTAATATGTATACTAGGGGAGACTTTGTCTGTTTTTTACATATAGGTAATATGCATACTAGGGGAGACTTTGTCTGTTTTTTACATAATATGCATACTAGGGGAGACTTTGTCTGTTTTTTTTTATATATAGGTAATATGTATACTAGGGGAGACTTTGTCTGTTTTTTACATATAGGTAATATGTATACTAGGGGAGACTTTGTCTGTTTTTTACATATAGGTAATATGCATACTAGGGGAGACTTTGTCTGTTTTTTACATATAGGTAATATGCATACTAGGGGAGACTTTGTCTGTTTTTTACATATAGGTAATATGTATACTAGGGGAGACTTTGTCTGTTTTTTACATATAGGTAATATGCATACTAGGGGAGACTTTGTCTGTTTTTTACATATAGGTAATATGCATACTAGGGGAGACTTTGTCTGTTTTTTACATATAGGTAATATGTATACTAGGGGAGACTTTGTCTGTTTTTTACATATAGGTAATATGTATACTAGGGGAGACTTTGGAACCTTTGGACGATGATGGCTCCATTAATGCTTTTGGTTTTGGAGACAGAAAGAGTAAAGATAAAAAGACATTTCCGTTCAAACCCCAGGTAAAATGAAGTTACACGCAACCTTTTTTCACGTACACGTGACAAATATTAACAACATTTGACGAATACTAATTGAAATACAAAGATAAACAAATGCATATAGTGAGTTCATGAAAAAAAATCAAAACATTTTCTGATTAAAATACATGTATTAGCAACCAGTTTGCATGTTAGATAATGTAAACTATATATGTATTACTACATGCAGTTATTTGTTATTTTCTAGGGAGAATGTGATGGATTTGCAGAAGTGTTAGATGTTTATAATGAAAATAACACCCAAGATCAGAATGGGGACCAACAAATTTTGCTCCACTTATCAAGAAGGCGGTGGACATTGTCAGGAAAAATCAGGAAAGGTAAAATGATAATGATCACGTTCTCTTTAATGTTATAAAAACCTTGTTTTTGTTTTATTTTTTTCAACATGGTCAAAGTGTCATTTATTTAACTCTAAGCCTAAATAACATTAACTTAAAGTGGATTGGTCTACAAGGGACACATTTTCTAATATGTATTTAAAGTATTGATAACAACAATATAGAAACGTTTCATTTGGATATTCTTATTAAATATTTCTTGAAATAAAAATGTCAATTAAATTTAAAATAATTCATGTAGAACATCAATGTGATGAAAAATAATGTCATGTTCTAGAATAATTTACTATCTGCTATTTACAGATATGTAATATCGGACCATATTTCTCACACTTTACAGCAGACATGATTGTATAACCATTTCGTAGTTTGTTGTCATCTATGATGCTAAATATTATCATTATAATTATGTACAGTATAGATACTTTTCACATAGCAATTATTACCTCCACTTGTCTCTATTTTGGGGTTCATTTCCAAATATTTCACATTCTTTAAATAAGATAAAAAAATCTCTCCGAATTCTATCATCTTCATGAAAACTGATAAAAATCTGTAACATAATGGTGCTATAATCATATTTTGTTGCATATCTTTTAATTTAAAAGAATCTGACAGTTCACCTAAATCAGCTGTTTATATTATTTTTTCCTATTTTGGAGTTATATTATATAGAATATTGGAAATGGGTAAACATTTGCTGACTAGTTTATTTATGAATATTATCATATGTGTCCACATATTTTCAATTATGTCTTTCTGTAGTATCACATCCTAGTCATAGTAGCTGACGGACAGGTAACCAGCGAGGAGGAAACCATTCAAGCCATTGTTGATGCCTCCAATTTCCCTCTTTCTATCATCGTCATTGGTGTTGGTGACGGTCCATGGAATGTTATGAATGATTTAGACGAAAAGTTACCATCCAGAAAGTTCGATAATTTTAAGTTTGTCGACTTTCATGAGATCAAAGGTTCAGCTAGAAATCCACAAACTGCTATAGCGATAGAAGCATTATCGGAGATTCCCGAACAATATAAAGCTATCCGGAAACTTAAACTTATAGAAAACATGTGAATTCCATGATCACAATGTATGTTTAAAATAATATAGTACGTGTACATTTGAAATTAACATAAAATTTACAACTTCTGTGACACAGCTTTACATTAACATAAAATCTGATTTAATTAAAAACTTTAAAAGAGTCATACTGTGTGAGAATATAACGCTATGACATTAATTCACATTTCTTAATCTAACATTATATAACTGAAAACATTATATTTAATCAATTTATGTGTCAAGAAATCGTTACAAAATGGAGTGTGTATGCAACAATGTTGTTGTTTTTTGTCGACAGTCCTCATTATATACATTGTATTTACAAAAGCTGTAAATCTTAAATATAAAAGGAACACCACTAAGGTCCAAAAAGTATAAAAACGTTAAATTTGAATTTCTTATATAGATCAACTGATACATTTAGATTAGAAAGATATGCAAAATATAATTAGTAAATATACTCTGAAATAAATTGAAAATCGTATTTTTTTTGTTAGCCCGATAACGCTTTTCAATTTTTGGGCCATTTTTAACAATTAGAATAATTACTCAGAGTGAGCGAAAATTCTGTTATTTTGGTCTAGACTAACATTAAATAAAACAAAAATCCCGAAAAATCATTTCCAGTTTATTTATGTCAAAACAACGAGGTGGAGTCCCTTTAAAGCTTTTTACGATCTGAGTACGGACATTTCTACGCACTGAGAAATTCGTAATTTGCTTGATTACTAACACACAGAGTTACAACCTGTAGCAAATGCCAGTCTGGTTTTCTACTTCCCACATTTCCTCAATTAATTTATTGCTTATCGCGTGTAGTTGAAATAAAATGTTTTAATACATTTGCATTGCCAAAATCCTTGAACTTTTGACAATAATTCGGCCTTTTGGAGACAAAGAATTCCAACGAAATGACTCATTACAATCTTTGTGACTATTTAATATAAGGATTTTTATCACATTTATGTGGTGCTTAGTGGTATTTTCACTGATAAGTTACCAGCCAGACAACTTTCACAAAAACACATATTGATTAATATGCTTCATTACAACATAGTTTTTATAGCTGAGATATTTTCAAGACATAATCTGCAACAACGTAGTATCTAAAAATACAAAATTAAAGGTAAATTGTATTTGTTTTATAACAAATTCCGTATAATGCCACATATTTTACTCTCTCTTTAACAGTCTATTACATACACTGTTTACAAGTACTAACTGCTATCATTAATCGATAGCTGTGCGTTATTGGAGTTCGATAATTTACACCGGGATTATTTTGCCTTGCCTACAATATACAGTATCCGGTGCACCGTCTTGCTCCTTCCTTTTTAAAAACTTCAATTGAATGAGATCAGGTCAGTGTTAAACAGATACGGAAATTTTTTTAAAAATAATTGAAACAGTGCATATTTACATCGTGATTAAACTTGATTTTATAAGAGATAAAGTATTTATGTGAAACGAGTTTGATTATTTAAATCAGATGAGTTGCTATTTAGGTGATAATCTTAGATTTTTATTTATAGGGCTTCATTGAACGCCGCCTTTCCTTGATCTTGTTTATCATATTTCAGTAGAATTTTTTAGATAAATCATTTACATCCTTACATACATAATATTTCACGGCAACAATAAGAAAGAGATAAGAGTAATATTTAATTTAATCGCCTGAGTTTGAAATTCGATTTAATATTTTTTGTCATTAATTTAATTTCATACGGAGTATGGGAAAAACAAAGCGTACCACGGCAAGGCGGTCTACCCCTTTAAGTTTGCCGGAGGCTTTGGCGACCAAAAGAGCGGGTAGTGTAGGACCATGAATGAATCTGTCGGTGTGGCAGTCACGACAGGGACTCAGACTGATACGATGCAGCCAAGTTCAACATCAATGGAAAATGGTAATGTTGATTTAGTTGAAGATAGCATTCAAACATTGCCTAATGACACAAGCATGGAAAACACTTTTATTAATGTTCCTCAGTTGGACGGGGGCCCGGTAGCACTTTCAAGTGTTCACAGTAAATTGGGGTTTCATGTCAGTAACTAATGGCAGTAATGCATTGAAAAATAAGATTATTTCAGGCTAGCTTAAGGTCTTCAGCGTACCCGTTTATATATATGACATGACGTGAACGCTGAAGATAACCCCGTAGGGAAAGTCCACCAATAATCGTGTCAGGAATCTGACACGCTCGAATTTATTTATCGAACATGCCACGAAGTAAAGTGAAGCATACCTTGATAAAACGATATATAATCTGTTGATAAGCCAAGGATGGACAAATAAAAATCTTATTAGGAACATAAACTACCTAATAGTTTCCGACAGGTAAAAATTTCGGCACTTGGCCGCCATATTGCCAAAATGTTTGACCACGTGATTACGAGATTGACCTTTATGAACCCATGTGCCTCCAATATTTTATAGATTACTTTTTTTTAAGATGTTGAAAAAGGTTATTTACTGACTGTTATATTCAATATAATCATATTTAAATACTAAAAAATTTATGAAAATAAATAAAACATTATCTTGAATAAAAATATCGAAATCATGTCAACAAAATGTTCTAAATATAGTACACAACTCTATTCAAATCTGTTCCCGCGAATGACGTCATACGAGGTCTCGCGTGGCAATTGAATGTCATGGCCGACTGCAGTCGGCGAAAGTTGATGTTTTACAATTAAATAGGCAATTTTAATGACGGTATTGATATTTTATTACTTGAATTGGTATAGAACGATATTTAAATAATTGTTTTACCGTAAAATGCACAAGAATTGATCGGGTCAAGTGTATTTGCAAGTGAAAAATAAGAATAAATCAACTTATGTTATTCTGGTTAGGTTTCGTAACGGGTCTAATCCAAAACTTTAATGCCGCATCTGATGAAAAACAAAAATGTTAAAAAGCGGCTTATAAAGTTATGGAAGCCAGAACTAATTTCAGGCCAGTATGTTGATTTAGCCTTGCTCCTCGAGGCTCAGCCGAGTGAGAATGAAGTAAAAAGCCTAGAGTTTGGTCAATCTGGCCAATTGTTTGTTAAGGCTGCACCATCGTCTAAGGCAATAGACAGTGTTGAAGTATGGTCTGATGCATTTTTGGTTTACGCCTCAATTTTTCTGGAGGCACATCCTCAAAGAACGCAAGAACTGTTTAAATACATAAGCACCATTAGGACGGCATCGAAAAGGCATTTTGGTTTAGGTTGGAAACATTATGACCAACAATTTAGATTGCGCCTGGCCTCCGATCCAACTGGTATATCTTTCGGCAATATTGACTATGAGCTTTGGTTATTATATATTGGTGCGTCTGCTAGTATGTATGGGGTTAATGTGCAAAAAAGCACCAAAAAATGTTTTGATTTCAACTATAGGCAGTGCACTAAAATGGCATGTCAGTATAGGCATAATTGTTTAAATTGTGGTAGCTACCACCCTCTTAAACTTTGTTCTTATAACAGATTACAGGTTAGGGGACCAAGACCAATTAGAGGCCACTGCTCCCCAGGGCCAACAATTGGTTAGAGCCACTGCTACCCAGGGCCAACACTTGGTTAGAGCCACTGCTCCCCAGGGCCAACACTTGGTCGGACTGCGGTTATACACAGATGTTAGACCAAGATATCCTGCCCCCACTTGGCAAAAATTTGATTTGAATTTAGGCAAATCACCTATAAATGTAGATTTATTAATTACTTATTTGCAAGGTTACCCAAATAGGCAGGACGCAGAAATATTAAAGGATGGTTTTTTAAATGGTTTTCGCCTTGGTTTTACTGGGCAGCGAGTTTCGGTTGACGCCCGTAATTTTAAAATCTGCACAATTAAATTCACATGTATTAAAACAAAAAAAATCAATAATGAGGTTATAGCTGGTAGATTTGCTGGCCCGTTTAAGGTTTCACCGGTGAACAATTTAAGAATTTCGCTTTTGGACTGGTGCCAAAATTAGATCGTTCCTGGCGACTTATTACCCATCTTTCTTATCCGGAAGAGAAAAGCGTTAATGATGGTATCAGTGATAATATTGCTACAGTAAGCTATGCATCATTTGATAAGGTGGTAGACATGATTTTCAATCTGGGGTATAAATCAGAAATGGCTAAGAGCGATATAAAGTCAGCCTTTAGACTCCTGCCTATTTGTCCAGAAGATTTCTGTTTATTAGGTTTAAAGGACAATGATGGGAATATTTATATAGATAAATTTTTGCCAATGGGGTGCAGGATTTCTTGCGCATTATTTGAGAAATTTTCTACATTCTTGCAATGGCTTGTTGAATGTGTTTCACAAAAAGATACATTAAACCATTATTTGGATGACTTTATTTTGGCTGGAGCAGATAAAACAAACAATTGTAATAATCTCATTAGTTCATTTTCATCGGTATGTTATTTGTTGGGTGTTCCTATTGCTGAAGAGAAATCAGTGGGTCCTTGCACAAAGTTGATATTTTTAGGGCTTGAACTTGATTCCTGTGATATGATCATAAGAATTCCATTGCATAAAGTGGATGAGTTGCGAGAAGATATTAAACAGATTCTACTGAGAAAGAAAGTTACTCTAAAAAATTTTCAGTCATTAGTAGGAAAAATGTCTTTTTGTAGTCAAGCTATACGTTCAAGTAGGGCATTTTTGCGTAGATGCTACGATGTTATGGCAAATGTTAAACAGCCTTATCATAGGATTCGAATTTCAGAAGCCGTAAGACTTGATTTAACTGTGTGGCTCACATTTTTGGATTCATTCAATGGTGTCAGTTATATCCCCGATGACATATGGTTAGATAGTAGTAACTTGCAGTTATTTACTGATAGTGCAGGGTCCCCAACAATGGGTTGTGGTTGTTTTTTTGGTACAGAATGGTCGTTTTTTCGGTGGCCAAAAGCATGGCATTGCGACGAAATTATGAAAGACATAACCTTTTTAGAAATGGTACCTGTTATGCTTGCATTATGTTTATGGGGGACACAGTTGCAACATAAGAAAGTTATATT